TGGTTTTTACATTTCTGGACACCACGGTGTGCTTGCCATCACATATAAATATGGATGAAAATTTATTTTCTGGTTGATTAGGAATGTGCACATCCTTTGGTTTCATGTGGGTAACAGATGTCTTGTGAGTAACAGATGTCTTGGCTTTTACAGACTAATTGGCAAAATGGGGAAAAGGGGCTAATTAAAGGGGTGGGAGGAGACACAAGAAAAGGGCAATCTTTCTTGTGGGGAAAACTCTAATCGACCTCCTTATTCTGGGTAATTACCTCCTTCTTCAACTTCATTTGCTGTCCCTTTCCATATGACTCAAGTACATTATAATGGAAAAGTACAAAATAAAGAAACATAAGGCTGGACTACTGTCTGCTAACAGCCAGATTTATCCTGTCATGGAATATTCTAGTATAATTGACTCAATTAACATCAGTCTTTTAAAAAACAAAATATGAAAGCATAAGTCTAATCACTAAGGGCAACTTATGTTTTAATTGGCAGCACAAGGGTTCTATGTTGAGGGTGGTTGATATAAATATAATTTAATTATATACCAAATGTGACCATACAGTGGTTTGGTGGGAAACGAAAAATTCAAGACTGAATATGTTGTATGTTAGCTATACATCTTAGGTTCCCTTTAGTTTGCTGTTTGTTCTGTATCAGTGCTATAGTACTGCCAGTTGACCTGGAATAAATGAGAACATTTAGCAGATGTTTGAAGCTATCATCAACAAATTCTCAGTTTTGTCAGTGTTTTCCATTGTGCATCATTTAAAGTAAGGTGGCATTTACTGTGTCTTAACTATGTTACCTCGGTCTGAATTAATCTTCTGATAGGTACATTTTACTTAAAACTGGAGGAAATTTTTATAGCTTGTTAAACATGCAATGAGTATCCACATTATTCCTTGGTAAGAGCTATTATGTAATCATTTTTATAAGGAGCTAGTAGTATTTCCAAGAAAAAGTATCAGGTTAGATTCTTAGAGGTTCACACTTAATACAAAACTCAGACAACCTGAAAGGTAAGGTTATTTATGTAGATGCACACACGTGATAATTGACTTTTATTTAACCACCTGTCTTCCCAGAAAATAAGTAGGTTTTTAAAAATATCAACCGTGTTTTAAAAGGTAATTAGGATAACACATATCAAAATCTCAATTGTCGGGCGCCTGGGTGGCTCAGTTGGTTAAGCGACTGCCTTCGGCTCAGGTCATGATCCTGGAGTCCCGGGATCGAGTCCCACATCGGGGGTCCCTGCTCAGCAGGGAGTCTGCTTCTCCCTCTGACCCTCTTCCCTCTCGTGCTCTCTCTCTCTCATTCTCTCTCTCTCAAATAAATAAATAAAATCTTTAAAAAAAATCTCAATTGTCAATTATTAACTTCTTTCTGCTGTATTAGAATTATATTTTATTCAATTGCTAGAAAGATGGGAAAATGTTTTATGGACTTGTCTTTTAAAAAAATAAAAAAATATGTATCAGCTTTGGTAGGGTAAAAACAACATTGCTTGAGTAGTCTAATAACTGCTACATTAATTCAGGGTCTTGATCTTTTTGAGCACTATTTCATTATCTATAAAATGGAGATGGTGACACCTAACCCCCACACTTGCACTGGGAATTTTACATAATGATAAAGACACATGAAACTAACATATGTTTAATTGTTGGGTGCTTTATACTTGTCTTCCTTCAGTGGACCCATATTCCATAGTTAGTTGCCTTGATTTCCACACTAGGCTTCTCTTGGAAATAGAAAATTCACAGAGACTTTGATGAGGAGTCTAGTAACAACTGGTTTGAGACTGTGGGTCAGAAGACATTCTTCCCAACTTCAGCCCCTTAAAATATGAGGTAAAGAATAACCACAGTGGATTAAGTTTCTTCAGTGTCAAAGAGTTTTCCGTATTTTGTAATTGTAAATTTCCAAGAATTATAAAATCATAGAGTCATAAAATGTTGGCACTCTATGAGGTTTCAGGATTTGGGGATCCATTGCCCTGACCCCGGTTCATTTCCCATTTTCAGAAGAAGGCACCGAGGCTCTGTAAGGTTAAATGTCTTCTCTAAACTCAATGAGCAAGTTAGTGACAGAGGCAGGACTGAGACCTTCTTTTTCTGAGTTCTTTATTGGGACCATGGCCAGACACCACCCTGCTGTGGGTCTATCTAGGTTCTAACCTGGGCTATTAAAAGGAGAGCATTCAACTCATTCCACAAGTAGAAAGGGATGCATTTCTTTGTTCAGCCTTTTAAATGGTCTGTACACCCTAGTTTATTCCGCCATTCCTTTATGGATTATGAATGTATTTCAATTGTTAGCATAAGACAACCAGCTTTACCTCCTCTAGTAGGAAAAGTCGTAGTTACTAATGTTTACAGAGTACTTCCTGTGTACCAGATGTTGTTCTAAGAGCTTTACATAGATTAATTTATTCTTCACAACAACAGTATGAGGAGGTATATTCTTCTTCTCGTCATCTTTTATATAAGGAAATGGAAGCATAGAGGGGACAAGTAATGGCCAAGATTCAAAGCTAGTATAACCAGGATTTGAAGGCCTTTGTCAGATTGGAGTTGAAATGTACTAGAGAAAGATTTCACTGTCAGAAGGCACCTGAGTGGATGGGTTCTCATTATATGAACTCTCTTTTATGCAAGGAAAGTGACTTAAAACCTTTTTCAAATCACCTGGATTTTATATATCTAGCTCTACTGAATCCTAATCAATGTAGATGATAAGGTTTTACTGTAGCACGTAAATACCAACAAATGAGTACAGTTTGACTGTTGAACAACAAGTGTGTAAGGGGCACCAACCCCTCACACAGTTGAAAATCTGCTTAATGTTTGACTCTGCCAAAACTTTACTAATAACCTATGGTTGACTGGAAGCCTTACCAATAACATAAGCAATTAACACATTTTGTATATTACATGTATTATATACTGTATCTTACAATAAACTACAGAAAATAAAACGTTATTAAAATCCTAAGGAAGAGAAAGTACATTTAGAGTATTGTACTGCATGTATTGAAAAGAAATCCATTTATAAGTGGATTGGTGTGGTTTAAACTCATGTTGTTCAAGCAACGGTCAACTGTAGATTTGTTTATATTAATCACCCTTGGAATAAATGGAGGAGTGAGCTATTTTGCTTGGTCCAATGTTGTTAACAAAAGAGTATTTTATTTTATGACTGTATTTCTTTTAGCCCATAGTAATAAACATGTTTATAGAGAGGGGAGGGTATTGTACCAATCAAGAGAAATTACTAAAGAAAAGATAGTTTTTGTTGATCGATATGTAATTTGTTCTTTCTTACACACCTAGTTATGTAGGAATATTATCCATATCTGCTCTTATATTGGTATTTGAAGTTGAGTATAAAAATTGTCATTTATGTATCAAATATTGTACAGTTATAACATGAGCTCCAATTTCATTAATAAGCAGTTTAAAGACGGATCTCAGAAAAAATTATTTTATTATAAAACTTGGTACATTCAGATAATTGTGGGGAGCAGTTATGATTTAAGAGAAAGCTCATTAGAATAACAATACAAAAGTCTTATTTAGTGTGCTATTTAAAAACAATGTAATTAAATAAAATCTGAATAAATTGTCACAACCACTGAACTTCATGCTGACAGATACTTTACATCAGAACAGATGAATAGTGCGCCACTTGGAACATGTGAGTTCATGTGTGTGTGGGGTGTGTGTGTGTGTGTGTGTGTGTGTGTGGTAAGTGCGGAAGGTTGAGGAAATTTGTGCAGTGGACAGATTAGCAAAGTCTAATTTTTGAAAGTTTTATTGCTGTAGATTTATTAAATTTTACTGTTGATGTGTTTTGCTTCATGGAATAGATGTATTCATTAAAGAAAAGTGCCTGAAGGTCATGGTCTGTGTTCAAAAGACTCTTTTTTAAAAGATTTTATTTATTTATTTGAGAGAGAGAGAATGAGAGAGAGAGCATGAGAAGGGTGAGAGTCAGAGGGAGAAGCAGCCTCTCTGCTGAGCAGGGAGCCCGATGCGGGACTCGATCCAGGGACTCCAGGATCATGACCTGAGCTGAAAGCAGTCGCTTAATCAATTGAATCACTCGGGTGTCCCCCAAATGACTCTTATTCTACGATGTATTTCTTAGTGAAGAGGGGGAAGTGTGATGGCTCATTAATGCCTTAAAGGTACTAAGACGATAGCAATAATACGAACATATCTTTGAATAGAAAGGTAAAGAGTCACACTGCTTTTTTTTTTTTTTTTTTTAGAGCTATAAATTTCTATGGTTAGGTTTGTGTTTAGCACATTCACTTAAAAGTTGAAGGGAGAAAGGGTAAATGAACAGAGCACACTGGGTGGTTTGGTTACTCAGATCTCTAACCACACTTTACAAGAGATGCTGGACAGCGCCCCTTGGTCGCTGTGTTACTGTATCCCAGCGTTTCACGGGAGATGTTGATTTAGTAATAGGCCAATTGAGTTTAAGAAGGAGGGACTTTGACCATGGCTGAGAAAATTGTTTTATTTTTATTTTTAAAGATTTTATTTATTTATTTGAGAGCAAGAGAATGAGAGATAGCACGAGAGGGAAGAGGGTCAGAGGGAGAAGCAGACTCCCTGCTGAGCAGGGAGCCCGATGTGGGACTCGATCCCGGGACTCCAGGATCATGACCTGAGCTGAAGGCAGTCGCTTAACCAACTGAGCCACCCAGGCACCCGTGAAAATTGTTTTAAAATATGGTAGGAACTGAATAAATTCACAAAAATACAAGCAATAGTAAACGAAGGTTGGGCCGCTGGTTTAATAAAACGCATGACTGAGGGGTACTAAGAGCAGTAGCTTATGTTTATCCAGCGCTGTTCATTTAAACCCTTCCTCAATTTTCATTAAGATTGAATTCTTATATTCAAGTATGATGAAATAAATTTGCATGATATTTTCTATATCTTAAAGCTTTTTACCTTACACTTTCCAGGATTGAAGTGTGTATGTCTTTTGTGTGACTCTTCAAACTTTACCTGCCAAACTGAAGGAGCATGCTGGGCTTCAGTGATGTTGGCCAATGGAAAAGAACAGGTGATCAAGTCCTGTGTCTCTCTCCCAGAACTGAATGCTCAAGTCTTCTGTCATAGTTCCAACAACGTTACCAAAACGGAATGCTGCTTCACAGACTTTTGCAACAACATAACCCTGCACCTTCCAACAGGTAAGGCATTCCTCTTTGTTCATTCAAATTTAATTTTACTAGTGGGAAATTATAAGCATGGTAGAGATCAAGGTGTTGGTTGTTACTTTAAATAAGGAAATCCGTTTTACAGTTCTCTCCTTTTTTTGACTGGTGATATTCTCTAGAGCCTAGATGAGGTTGATTTTTTTTGTTTTGTTTTAATTGCACAAGACTGTCAAAACATTGACAACAGCATAATAATTTTGAAGACATTTGTCCAAGTGAATTTTATTTTTTGAAGTGATTAATGGACCTAAAGTTAAATGTCAATTTGTATGGATTCTTGTGAAGGAAAGAAATTAAAATGTATACCAAGAAAAAAAAGAATAAGGAGCAAAACTAAAAGTAGTAGATTGCCTACTTTTATGGAGACAAAATCTTTTTTTCATGGGCACCTTCTTCATGTCTTCTTTGCCTGCCTGCACTCAAGTGCAAGCCCTCATGAGCAGAAAGATGGAGGTAGAATGGAATGTAACTCTTCATTATTGTGCAGAAAAATTCCCGCCTCCTCCTCCCAATTTCATGGCATTTTATGCTAATATACAAGACATTGAAAATCTTAATCTCGTTTTTTATCAGTAATTTGGAGTCTGAAACTTTGGGGGATGTTAAGGGGCAAGTAATTAAAATCGCAAGCTAATTTATGACATGAAAGTATTCTGTGGCGAATTTTCTTTAATGTGTATTAATTCAGTAATAATTTAGTGCTGATTGATATGTTAATATCTACACATGGATACATAGTTCTTCCTTACAAAGTAACATTTTAAGGTACCGTTATCCAGTCTCAGGTGTTCCTCTATCACCATATGAATATTCTACTGTAGTATTTTTTTTTCTACTGTAGTATTTTTAACCTACTATTTTTTCTCACAAATTCACTGTCCCCCTTTTCTAAACTTGGCATCACTACCACAAATGAAAAACCAGTTTACTTACCATTAAGTAGAAGACGACTATGTACTTAAACAAACATAGCTACTGCATTCCAGTTAAGTATTTTGTATTTTCTTTTTGTTTAAAAGAGAGAAGAATGTGATGTTCAAGACATACTAGCACAAAATAAGGCTTTTTGATAAACAGAAAAACCAAGAGAACTAGAGAAAAAATTATCATGTAATTCAATGTTATTTAAATCATGTTTGCTGACCACTGCAAATCATCTCAAGAACCCTTAGAATCATTTCATGTGCTGCCACTGGGACTTGTCCCAATCTTTGGAAAACACTGTTCCAAAACATTACACTACCGATTGCAACCTCAGAAGTCATACCTGGCATATTTCATCCCCTAAGGTTACTTGCAGTCTTGATTTTTAGACCACGCTTACTCTCCCTGTCTCAGATTCCACAGGCTTCCTTGGTTTGATAGTGATCTGGTATTTATTCTGGATACTTTAATTTCCTTATATTTTCTCCCATGGTTATCTGTGGGCCCGAGACACCCTGAAATGAAGGCTCCCTATATCTGATGCTGGTCTTCCCATGACCAAGATCCAAAAATTAAGGAGGGGGAACTAGGTCTGCATTAGCCTGCGGCTGTGGCATCTTTGAAGGGGCTTCCCAGTAATGAATTACCCACAAGACCACATGCTGCCAGTCAGTATGGACACAAGAGAGTACTTTGACAGCAACAAGAAAGGTCTTAGAGGACAAAATGGTTTATATGCAGTTGGGCAAATTAAAGATACTTAGTGCAGCTGGAATGTGGGTCCTTTCCAGCCTAACTATACACTCTGTCTCACTACTGAGAAGCTTATGTTCTACCCTCAAGTCCACGTAAGAACTAGTATTTTTTTTTAAATCAATTTTATTGAGGTATAATTTAGATATAATAAAATGCACACATTTGAGCATATGGTTTGATAAGTTTTGACACACACACACCACCACTTTTACATCGCTTCAGAATATTCACAATCAATCCCCACTTTGACCAGGGCTGGACTGATCTATTTTCTATCACTATGGACTAGATTTACTTTTCCCAGAGTTTCACAAAATGGAGGCCTTATGGAAGATATTATTTTGCCTTTGGCTTCTTCCACTTAGCATGTTTTTGAGATTTATTCCTGTTGTGGGTGTATTTGTAGCTTGTTCCTTTCTCACTGCCGGGTGATATCCCATTATATGGATATATTACAGCTGTTGCTGTTTTACCCATTCACCCACTGAGGAGTATTCAGGTCGTTTCCATGTGGGGGCTGTTAACAAAGGTGCTATGAACATCTATGTACAAGTTTTTGGATATATATGTATTTTTTTTGTGAGAAAATGCCTAATAGTGGAATTATAGGGTTATATAATAAGTATTTATTTATTTTACAAATATAATCTCCCAAGTAGTTTCCAAATTGTACTGTTTTACATCCCCAACAGAAATGTATGATAGTTCCAGTTGTTTCCTATTTTTATAGTCACCTGGTAGAATCAGTTTTTTAATTGAATAAAATTTATTTATTTATTTATTTTATTTTTAAATAAAAACTTTTTAATTTTAATAAATTTTTAAATTTAATTTTAATTTTTAAATTATTTTATTTTTAAATAAAATTTTTAAATTTTTAAATTTTTTTAATTCAAGTGATTGTATAGTGGTATTTCATTGTGGTTTTAGTTTGCATTTCCCTGATGATTAATGATGTTCAATTATTTTTAGGTGCATATTGGATAGTTGTGTATCTTCCTTTATCAAGTGTCAAATCTTTTCACATTAAAAAAAATTGAATTTAAAACTTCTTTATATATTCTGAATACAAGTCCCTTATCAGATATGTGTATTCTGACAATTTTCTCCCATTCTGGGGATTGCTGTTTTGTTTTCTTGAATGTGTCTTTTGCAGAGTAGATTAAAATTTGATGAAGTATATATTTTTATTGTTTATATGTTTCATGGCTTAAAAGAGGGCGTCTTTGTCTATCTAAAGGCCATAAATATTCTCTTTCATATTTTCTTCCAGAAATTTTAACATTTCAGCATTAACATTTAGGCCTATATTCAATTTAAACTTAATTTTTGTTACTATGTGAGGTTTAGGTGAAATTTTATTTTGTATATGGATCTGAAGTTGTTCCAACATCATTTGTCGAGAAATCTATCCTTTCAATTACCTTGCCACTTTGATTGAACATAAAGTGACCAAAAATATATGTGGGTATATTTCTGGCCTCGTTATTCTGCTCCAGTGTTCTGTATGTCTATATTTATGTCACTATCCAACTTTCTTTATTATTGTAGCTTTATAGCAAGTATTGAAATCAGGTCATGTGACCTCTCCAACTTTGTTCTTTTTAAAAATTGCTTTGGTTATTCTGAGGCCTTTGCATTTCCATTTAAATTTTAGAATTAGTTTGACAGTTTTTGCAAAAACACATGCTGAGATTTTTATTAGATTGAGTTGAATATATAAATTATTCGAAGAAAATGGTCATTTTAACAATATTAACCAGGATTATGGCACGTTTTCCCATTTACTTATTTTTCATCAGTTACTCTTAGCAATGTTTCGTAGTTGTAAGAGAACAGGTTTCATATGTATTTCCTGGAATGTATCTCTAAATATTACCTGTTTTTGGATGCTATTGTGAATGGTATTTTTAATAGGTCAACATTAATTGTCAGTATATGAAAATAAAATTAATTTTGTATATTGACCTTATTTCCCACAAGCTTGCCAAAATGAGTTATATTAGTTCTAGTAGCTCTTTTAAAAATTCTTTGTTGTTTCCTACATACACAATCATCTTATCTGTGAATCCAGGCAATTTTACATCTTCTATTCTGATCTGTATGGATTTTATTTCTTTTTCTTGCTTTTTGCACTGGCTGGAACAGCTAATATGATGATGAATAGGAGTGATGAGAGTGCAGATCCTTGCCTTTTTCCTGGTCCTAGGAGTGAATGCACGCCCTCTTTTACCATTAAGTATGATTTTAACTATAGGTTTTTGTAGACTCCTATTATCAATTAATGAGATTTGCTTTTATTCCTAGTTGGGGGAAGGTTTTTTATCCCATATGAATATTAAATTTTTCAAGTATTTTCATGAATGTATTGAGATTATAGCATGCTTTTTCTTCTTCAGTCTATTGACATGATGGAACAGGGAAGATATGTGTTGTCTAGTCAATAATTAGTATGTCTACAAAAAATGCTATGGGACATTTATTGAATTAAAATTTCTTTACTTAAACTAAGAATTTTTGTCTTTTAGTGACATTGTATGGTCCACGGACATGAAATTGAACAGGATTGTATGTATAGTCATCTTGTGTCGGGTTGTTCTGTCTGTGAGGCAGCACTAAATGGTTATTAGCTGTATTTGGAACAGCAGCTGTTTGGGAAGGAACTTCCAGGCTGAGCACTGACACAGTCGGTGCCAAGAGCTCCACTGTTTTTGTGTCATCAGCGAGTGTGATTGCTATCCATCCCCTGCTCTGCCTAGTGGAGATTTACTAATTTCAGTTGTGGTTACATATATATGAAATATATAAAAGCACTCTGCAGAGTAAACTGTGACATTTCTACAGTGTTAATGCTCTGCATCACATTGGTGGACAAGAAAGAGAAGAAGAGGGAGGGAGGTCACCTAGAAGAGATTGGAGAAAATCTGGACTTCCCTTTTTGGTTCCTCTGAAAGCCAAGTGGACCCTTGCCTCTTTGGCTCTTTCACCCATGACCCCAGACTGTGGGGCCATTTCTGGGTATTGACTTGATGGAGGTGGAGTAACCAAGGCTTGGGATCTTTTAGCTGACCTTCTTTTGTCCGTTAAGTCCTGTGTGTAATGATTGGGCTCTTGCTTTGTCTCTTCGTGACAAAATTCCTACCTTGAATACAGCTCGGGACTTTTTCTCTCCCTTTCTCTCTCTGCTTGGGCAGTTGTAACTCAGCAACTGGAGGACTGTAGGCCTTTCCCTCTTTCGCTCTTTCCCTCCTAAAAATCCTTTTAAGTGTTTGGCTGTAATTCCTAAACCTTAG